CCGCGGGTTCCCGCATCGCGTTTTAGATCTTTTGGACATCAGAGGTTAAGACTGGGATGAAGAAGAAGCCTTGAAGATCTGGCCAATGATCTCTGCTAGTCTGCCTCGCGCATCCTAGTTTTTCTATTTTTTTTTTGATTTACGGTATTTCCGGGATTCTAATTTTTTTATCAGCCCAGGGTGAGTGCCGATTATTTCAGTCGAAAAACCGCCTAGAAATTTAAAAATTGCCAAAAATCTGAAACTTAGGCCAAAAAGCTGTTTTTTAGTAAAGCTTTCTAAAGTTGCTACGCATAGGAATAGTTAAAATAGATATAAAAACTATAGAAAAATTAGGATCCCCAGAAAATGCCGAACAACCCACATTCCTAAATGATCTCTGCTAGCCCGCACCCTTTTCATTCCCAAATGACCTCTGCTAGCGTATCCTCTCTCTTTTTGAATCATCACTCCTACCCTGGCTCGATCTAACTAGATAGTTATTCCGAAAGAACCTCTGCTAATGCCGCGATTTCTTCCTAAATTTTCTCTGCTAGCCTACCCATCCTGCTTCCCAGATAACCATTGCTAGCCGCCCTTCGGTTCCTAAATCTCTATGCTATCCTGCCTCGATCTCGTAAGAATCGCTGCTAGTGTGCCGTTTTATGTTCAACTGATCTCTGCTAGCCCGCCACCATTCCTAAATCATCTCCGCTAGCCTGTTTGGACCTCCTTGCCCATTTCTCCAAACGCTTGTTGTGCCAAACTCCCGCTGCTAACGTGCCAGCCATTCCAAAAATCGCTGCTAATCCTGACGCGAAAATGATCTTTGCTAGGCTGCCACCGATTCCCAAATGATCGCTGCTAGTCCGCCCCGAAAACAGATTTTTTGAAAATGTTTATCCTATCAAACCAAATTGAATTCCTCAACAACCTCTGCTAGAGACCGAACGCTAGCTTTTTGTTACTACATCCCAACTCTACAGCTTTAACCCGACCCTGAATATCTCTCCACCACGCTATCCTACCAAAATTCGCCAGTCTCGATCCCAAATGATCCCTGCCAGCTTACATGACTTCCGGAAAGGTCTCTGCTAGTTTGCCTAACAAGCAATGTTGTAATTCAGCCTCACATTTTGAGGGAAGCTAGCATACACCGTTTAGGAAATTGGCCCATTCTTCCTGCTGGGGCGCTAATTATTCAGAATTTTTAACATTAAGCTTCCCGAAAGATCTCTGCTGCCAGTCCCCTTCCCAGAATTTCCGAAAACGCCTTACCCCCAAACCCGGAAAGAATAAATGGCGGGGCGCTGATCCCCTTCGGAAGGGCCAAAAACCGGGGGAATTGCTGTTTTTCGTGGCGGCACCCGGGGGCAAGGCGAGGGGCCAGGGGACGCGCCACGTCTTGATTGACGAGGCTTTTCGTGGTGGTGGCGCCTTAGGCCTCACTTCGAATATTTTTTGCTTTTTTCCGCAGAAATTATGGGTGGAATTTCGGGGGCTTTGAATTCGAGTGTACTTGCTAAATTGTGTTTTTCTATTCCTACACACAAAAAAGTTCAAAAATGCAAAAACTCTATTTTTTTTGACGAAAACCTGCAATTTTACGAGAAATTACTAGGTTTTTCTGCAATTTTGCCTATATAAATCTAGTTAAGTTTTACTCAAAACACGATTAAAAGCTTGCTATTACGATACGAGAATTTCTGGGCTTGGAAAAATACCCCCCGATAATGCTCAAGAACCCCACATTTTTTTGAGGAAATTGCGAGTTTTGAAAAATCAGTGTTTTCGTTAGAATTAACAACGAAATTGCTCGCTTAAAAACCCAATAAAAAAACTAACTAAAACGTTCCAGTGCTCATCCGCCCAAGCTCGAGCAGTTCGACGCCGCGCCGGCCGGCTATGAGGCTTCAGATCGGCCGCTAGAAAAAAAAACATAAAAAAGCGAAAATGGTGGAAGGCGGCGTGGCCATCGTCAAGTACATCCTATTCCTATCTAATTTGGTGTTATGGGTGAGTTTTTCCGCTTAAAGTTGATAAAAACCCTCCAGGTCGGCGGCCTGGGGCTGATCATCACCGGGACCGTGATGCAGCTCAAATTCCCGTTGTTATTCGATTTATTAGGTAAGTAGAAGGCATAGACATTATTTTTACACTTTATAAGAAATTTTCTATACCCTAAACACACACTTTTTAAGGGGATGAACGGTTAGCGACACCAATAGTGCTGATCGGACTCGGCTGCATGTGCACGCTGCTCGGATTTTTGGGGTAAGTAGTAGCAATACGGAACAAATACCGTAATTTCTGTATAAATCTAAATGCTTTCTTAAACTTACTTATACTTTCAAAGTAGGCTTTGAAGGTGTTGAGAAAATTCGGTTCTTTGGCATTATCGGGGGTTTATGATCTAATTTTTCAAATCCAAATAGCGGAAGTGTTTCTAAACTCCTTTTTACTATTCCTAATCGTAAAAAATGTACACATTTTTACCAAAAAATACCAAAAATAACGATTTTTCGGCTCAAAATACCGACTTTTCAAAAGTTTTTGGCTTGTTTTTCCAGTTTAAATAGTTCAATTTTACTAAAAAAACACTACTAAAATCTTTCTATTAAGTTATTAGACTTTTCAAAAACATACGCCTTCCCCCCCCACCGATAATGCAAAAGAACCGAAAGTTCTATGCCCAATTTTAGCTGCTGCGGAGCGATTCGCGAGAACTACTGCCTGACCGTGTCATTTGCCGTGCTGCTCGCCCTCGTTTTGGTGGGTATTATGATGCGAATGATACAAATTTAAGGCCTGAAAATAAATTAAAATTTTAATACAACCAGTGGAAAATGTCGCTTCGGCCCTTTCCACTGGCCCTAGGAACCATATAATCTCCTTCCGTTTTCAAGCCTGGGCCAAGGCTGACTTAGGATGCTTCTCTGCCTGCGGCGCTGGCGGTTTCTCTAGCATTTGGCCTGCGGCGCGAGCGGGGCCAAGGGACTTTTTGGCCTGCGGCGCTAGAGCGAGGGACTGGCCTAAATTTCGGATACTGAGGTCTCGAAATAAGTTTTGTTGTTGAAATATCAAAAAGCAAAATGGTAAATTTGCCGAGGATCGAACCCTGCTATGGGCTGGTAGACCGGGCGCCAAGCCACTATACCAACGGGGGCATTGGGACGGCTGGCGGGAAGGCCTCTTCTGCCCTGGGGGTTCGGGTCCGCCCGGTCGGGGTTATTCTGGTAACTTTACAAAATTAACTTTTTTGATCTGAATGCGCCGAAATTTTGTAAAAATAATGAGATGCGCGTGATCCCCACCATCGAATACATAAGTGGTCCAAATTACAAACCGAAATTCCATCAATACTTCGAGTTATGGCCCGAACACCACGGCGCGTCACCCCATTTTGTTAAGGATTTTCACTTTTTTGCTTGTAAAATTGTTAAATGAAGGAATTTCAAAAAATCCAAAAAACCGTTTTTGGCGAATGTGTTTCTTCACCTCCATGCCAAAAATCAGCGCGGTATTCGGCCTGACGGCCGAGAAACCGCCCGGACAGAAAACACACATACTTTTCTCGCTTATAGGATAGGATATAATAAATACAGTTTGATCAAAATGTCACTTTTCAAAAATTTGATTGATTTTTAGATGGGCTAACCGTTTGAGATGTAGTTAAATGCATTAAAACCATATTAAAACAGTTTTTTATCACGATGCTAGGAATTTCAACACTAATAGGAAAAATTCGACGAAAAAAATGGTAGAGATCCGGTGACGTGATTACATAAATCACACAAGTCAAAACTCCAGAAATGAGTGAAAAGCTCTATTAAATTACACTTATTAAATCGATACTTTTAGATGGTCGAAACGGCAGCGATCATTGCCGGCTACGCGCTCATAGACCCGCTAGAGAAAAGTCTGGGCAAGGAGTTGACCGATGGTAAGTCAAATTTATATTGTTTTTCGGTTTAAAAAATTCTCCTATAATTTTAGCGATCCAACCCTCATAAATTCGTATTGCATCGCTAAAGCCTGCGACACATATATAAATTCCTAGGTCTAAAACGATATGGAAAAGCCGATGGGGTGACGCTGGCCTGGGACGGCATGCAGCAGGTACCAAGGGATCTATAGCGTTTTAATCAAAGAATTTAAGGAATGGGACTGCTGCGGCGTCTACAACTCATCCGATTACGCCGGCAATTTGCCCGAGTCCTGCTGCGTGAATCCGGTTTATGGGTAAATCAAAAATGATTTAAATTAAAATTATTAAATAGCAATATAAATTCCCTAAACTATTCATCTGTATAAATTTTAGATGCATCAAAAACAAGGCGCCGATTCACACGACCGGATGTCTGGGACAAGCGCAGAGTAGGCGGCTTTTTATATAAATTTAAATTGTTTTTATTTATCGTTAGAAAACGTCAAATAAAATCTAGAATGATATAAAACATATTTTAACGTAGTTACAACCCAAATTTAAGTTTCACAAAAATTTAATTTTTTAGAACTAATCGGCCAGCACACTTTCATCGTCGGCATAATTTCCACCGTGTTAGTGACTCTGCAGGTAATTGTTTTTTCTGTGTTTTTTAGTATTTAAAACCAGAATTTAATTATTTAATTAGCTAATTTAATCCATTTTTCTAGGTGCTGGGCGTCTGCTTTGCTTGTTGTCTTTCAAAGAGCATCCTCAAAGACTTCCACGACTTCTACTACTAGCAATAACCCTCGAAAAGTTGCTTCAATTTTCAACGAATTTTTTCCACAAAAATTCAGCAAAACCGAAATTATCTATTTTCTTTGTATTTTTGCATTTTCTTTTTATCATACAACGTTTCTCGCTGCATAATATTAATAAATAAATATTTATCATGGACAAATCAACAATTTGGCACTTTATTAAAGTATATAACGTGTATTTTAGTAGTTTAAAAGCTATTAAAATTAGTTTTTAAACTCGTTATCAAAAGTTAGGTGGTGTTTAAAAACTTTCATAAGGTACCTTTTCCCTATCTTGATGTGTACAGTATCGGATCGTAGCGTAGAACGAGTTGCCCGGCCGAGTAGCTGCCCGTCTCGGTGTCGACGGAGCTGCGGTAGTTGACGATTACCTAAAATTAGTTGAATTGTATCCAATTTGAAATATGATTTGCCAAAAAAGTGCTTTTTGACAAAAACACATACCGTGGCCGGTTCGCGCATATTTTTCGGCATCAGCAGGACGCGCGCGGTTGTGTCCGGTTCCACGAGAAGCAGGCTGCTCTGAAAATCACCAGATGTATCAAGGAAATGTCTATATAAAAGTATAGACTATAAACTATACTATACTAAAAGTATAGACTATAACTATAAAGTATATACTATAAACTACAAACTAAGCTGCTACTACTACTAAACTATCAAATATTGACATAAAAAGTGCCAAACACACACTTCAATGCTGCAATTCTCCCATTCCAACCGCAGCTCGAGTCGTAACTTCTTGGACTCGTTGTGCATGTTGGACATGGCCGTAGTCGGGTTCATCAGGATCACCGGGCTGTTCGTTATCTAAAAGAAACGCGTTCAACAAGGGTTTCTGCTTTTTTTGGGAATATTTTTGCATATGTTTGCGCAGTTTCCGATTAAAAAGCGTAGAAATATTCTTATAATGATTTGAATTTATATCACATGATTTCTATAGCTTTTTCACGGCGGGAAGTTACAAAACGCGTTTTTAGAGCTAAAAACGCAGCGAAAGCAGCAATTTTTTGTTATTTTCGAGTGAGCGCTTTCGATCAGGCGACTTCGGTGAAAAGCGTACCACTTTCAGCGTGGGATCCAGGCGAGCATTCGTCGCAAAAGTCGGTTCCGTTGGCGACGTTGACGAAGAATTGTGGGGCGTTGAACTCGGGCACTCCGTTTTTTCCTAAAAATAAATTATGAAAGCATGCAAATATTTGGCGATTTTCTTTTTAAAGTTAAAACGAACCTTTGCGTAACTGGTTGATGCTTCTTGCCGTGTTCCTCCCCCACCATTCGAGCCGCTGTGATCGCTACCTGATCGGCTCGGCGCCCGAACTTGTTGCTGATGTCCGTTCTTTCTGCCCTTGAAGTTCTTCTTTGTAGTTTGCGGCTTTGGCTGTTTTGTTTGATGCTTTTTCTCGAAGTGAAGCGAGTCGCGGAGGATCTAAAACTATTTTTTTCCAGCTTCCAAGTAGCTTGTTTTATTCTCAAGAAAGACTAAAAGTAGATAAATCATACCTGGAGGTCATTCTTGCACTTCCGCAGCTCCTCCAGAATCTGCTCCAACCTCTCGGCGCCCTGCTGCTCAAAAAAGACGAGCTCGCGCTCCACCTCGTCGATGTCTTCCAGGTTGCTGTTCATGTTCTGGACGTAGCCGCGGCATTGCTAAAATATTGGGGATAGATTAGCGCTGTAAAAAATATATAATTTCACACTAACTTGCGCTTAGGATCCAATTTTTCGAATTTAAATAGAGTTTTAAATGTTTCTAAGCTATTGTTAATATGCCTAAACGCAAAATGTAACAATTTGGAATTAGAGACTACAAAAACGATCGATTTTCCGATCAAAAATGGCTGATCTCTCGATGAAAATGTCGAAATTCATAAGTTTTTCGATAGGTTTTCCACTTTAAATGTATTTAAATTTAAATTAAACGCTATTAGCACACCTTGTATTAAATTTCCAAAAATACCTCTTCGAAAGCTGCCGCTTCCTTGATGATATCGTGCGCCGTGTTCGCCAAATCGTCTAGTCCTTGCACGTGGCGGGCAAGGATGGGGCGCTGGACTTGGCCTATCTAGAAAAATGAATTCTTTAATTAAATTGATCATTTTGAAAGAATTAAAAATATAAATTCACACAAAAACAAACCCGATACGCCTGCAACGTCACCGATTTCGTCTTGCATTTCTTGTGGTTCTGCCAGGCGCAATTCCCACAGTAGGCTTGTTGTTCGGCCTGCAAAAAAAATTTATGTATTTTTATAATACGAAGTGATATACTATAAAATCAGTAAGTTTTAGGTATTTATAGCTGCGTAAACCTTATCAAAATCGCAACTAACCGCTCGATTTGCCTGCAAATGGTTCTCGCAGATGAACAGCTTCGTGATGTCGTGCTTGTCGAAGTTCTGCTTTTTGGAGCACGTGCTAAATCAGGGGCTGCAATTTAGGACATTAAAATACCGGAGCTATTTAAGTTGAGTGGCCCCAAGGGCGTCAAAAAATTTTGTCATCGGGCCCCGAGCCCTAGAATCAATATTCTGGGGTAGTTTTGTGCGCTGAGTACGAATTTAATACTTTCAGACTACAAAAATTTAACTTTAGACTACAAACTACAAAAAATCAAAAATCGTCAAAACGCCAGAAACACATTTCCTGGGCCGTCGCTGTCTATTCTTGATAGCTTCGCGACCAGATTGCATATTTTTAATTTGTGACCCCTAAGAGGGCCGTTGGTATAGGGTTTTGGGAAGTTTGACCGGGTCGGCTGGCTTATTCACACGGGTAATTGTGACAACGTGCGACCAAAAGCGGTAGAAATGTGATTGCGTCGGCATTCTTGGCGTCACATGAATTCACTGAGATAATCACGTTCCCTCATTCGTGGATGTTTGGGCCGTTTGATTTCTTGTCCTCTTTTTGAACTTGTTCCATTGGCTCTCAAAAGATTGAGTATGAGCCAGCAACCGGATCAACAAAGTTCATTTGGTGCTGACCGTGAGATGATTGTGCCTTTAAAAATATGCAATTTGGTCGCGAATGCTAACAGATGGTTCAGCGCAAAAAACGGCCCAGGAAATGTGTTTTCCGCGTGTTTTGACGATTTTTGTTTTTTGTGTTTGTGTCTAAGTTAATTTTTGTAGTCGAAAGTATTAATTCGTACTCAGCGCACAAACTACCCCAGAATATTGATTTCTAGGCCGATCCGGGCCCCCGATCGACAAAATTTTTGCGCCTTTGGGGCCCTCAACTTATGCTCAAAATACCTGCACGGGTAGGAATTCTGATGGCCGTCATCGACCCGAATCGCCGCGAATCGGTGCTCCATCAAACTGGCGTCAAAAAGCGCGTTTGAAGGCCGGAGGTTACCTGAAATATACGTGTAAGTGTAAGGTTTCATAGACCAGGAATTTCGAAGTTTTGAAATGCCCGGGAAGTTGTAATTTTGTTCTATTTGGCTTTTTGGAGCACTATTTTTCGAGCTAGGCTTCGTTAACGCCTCTATCAGCTCAGTTCTGGGCTGTAATCTCTGCTCTAATAGCTCTAAATGACCTTAATTTAATTTCTAACGGCCAAAAAGGCACTAAAACCTAACAAAAAAACGGAATTTGTAAGGGTTTATATAATTTTAAGCCGGCGTTCGCCGAAATGCCTTTTTTCACATTTTTCGCAATTCGCTGAAATTTGGCTCGAGAAAAGTACAACTAAAAAAGTACGAATCAAAACCTACTTCTTTGCAAACTATATAAACACTTTTTCTTATTATAAGTTATGGTTATAGCAAAAAATCCAGGGTTCAAAAAGCCCCGGGTCGCGCGCGCAGGGTATCACTAACCACAGCCATGTGCTAATCCGGGCGCTCGGATAAAGAGGCAACATCTGTGCCGCGCCAATTCCCAAATGTCACACGGTACCTGTTATTTTATTTTGTTTATCTACACAGTTAGTTAACGTATCAAAGAATATATTCTAAATAGTACTAAAATATCAGGTCCTACTTTATAGGTAAAAATCTTAAAAGCTGTTTGTTTCGAGTTCGAATCTGATTCGATTTTTTTTCTTATAGGCCCAGAAGTGCCTACTAATTTAGTAGTAACTCATTTAAAAGAAACCCTTTGTTTTTGTGAAAAAATTTTTTTTTTCCCTCAAAAAAAAACAACGCCCCAATTTTTTTGGGGGAGGGGGGCCCCCGGCCCCAAAAGGAACTCCGCTTTCCTTCCTTTCGCGCCCCCCCCCAAAGAAATCCTCCCTCCCTTTATTGAATGATATCACCCATCTTTTAAAGGAGGGGGGGGGGGCTCCCCCCCCCTCTTGCCATGGTTTTTTTTTTTTGAGCCCCGGAAAGGTTGGGTAACCCTTTAATAAAGTTTTTTAGTAAAAATAACGATATTTCAAGTAGAAAAATATCTAAAAAAACTTACAAGATTTTGAAATTTTATCGAAACTCGTCCACTTTTGGTGGAAAAATCTATATTTTTGTATTTTTGGGGGAAAATTAGTTGTTTTTACGTTTAGGAATAGTAAAAAAGTGTAGGAACACTTCTTCTGTTTCTATTAGAAAAATTGAAAACTATGGAAAAAGTAGTTCCCCGATAATGCGAAAACACCCAAATTTCAAGGTATTCATAAACCCAGAACTGCGCCAGAAGGCGAACTAGCAGAATTGAGTTGAAGAGCAGAAGTTGGAAAGAAGATTGTAGATAGCTGATGCCGAAATGCTACACAATGCCGAACTCGTCGATACCGTCCTGCCCTTCCCAGCACATTGTAATGTTGATTTATTCCGGCAATAGCCCCGCGGGCACCATGGCCGCTTTTATTACCATCTACCCCTGGGAATTCGGCGTCAAACGCCTGTTCTTCATCGTGGTCTCAAATAGTAGCCGGCTAGCAGAGATTCTTTAGGAAAGGGTAGGCTAGCAGAGATTCCTTAGGAAAGGGCAGGCTAGCAGATATTCTTTAGGAAGGGCAGGCTAGCAGAAATTCGTTAGGGAAGGGCAGACTTCCGAAGCAAAATTACCAGAAATTGCTCATTAATGGTCGTTTAAACAGCTTATCAACCCATAAACAGCCTATTTAAAATAGCTATAGAACATTAGTGCAGCAATTTAATTACGAGAATGGCCCTTGCCATATGTGCAGATGGAAAGGTCAGGGCACCTAGACAATTTTAGATACCCCCAGGGCTTGATAAGAGAAGTTATAATCAGTGGATTTCTTGATGGTAGGTATCTCCCATCTGCTACTATCACCATCGTGAGCATCAGTATCAGCTTCATTTGAGCTTTACCCAATTTTTTGTATTTTTAATATGTAGCTTCACCTCGTGTGCGTTTTGATCGTAATCTCATTCCGTTCGGCTTCTCCTTACGTCCACATTTTTAGACAGCTTTTTTTTATTTTTCATTTTAGCAATTGACACAGAGCGATGGCCTCCGAACTCACTCAACAACCGGATCGTCGGGAGGATTACGACGTCCCTGGACCTTCAAGGTAAGTTTTTGTTTCCAATTCACTTCCGGTCGATTCCTAAATGGCCTTTGCTAGCTTGCCTCGAGATTAGAATAATTTTGCGCTCGAGATCTAATTCGTCAAGCAATATAAATAAGCTCGAGAGAGATAGAGAGAGAGAGTGCGAGAGAGAGAGAGAGCAGAGAAAAACAGTTTCCGTTTTTAGCTCGACACAGCAAACTCGACGACCCATCGCATGGCGACTAGACGAGACGCCCGACGTGATCCTGCTCCACATCCTCAAATACCTCCCGCCCGTCGAAATCGAACGGTTAGCTTTCTTTTTTTTACGAGAAAGCCTTTTCATGCTATTTTTAACCCCCCCGATAACACGAAAGCACCAATTTCGGCGATTGCAGATGTCGAGTGCTGTGCCGCTGGCTCCAGGAATTCATCGACGAATGGCGCTCAATTCTGCCGCCCGTCCCGCTGCATCGACTCGAATTGTCACCTGGAAAGGTTAGTCGGCTTTTTTGCAAATGTAGAAATACAAAACATCGACAATCTAATACATGGAAATTCATAAAGTCAAAATTCAAAATATCGAATTGTATAATACGGAAATCTGATCGTAATATTCCTATTGTACAAAATAAAACGGTAGGATTTTATAATGTCGACATTAATGTTCTGATTTTATAGCAGCAGTTATATTTTTTTCAGATGCGTATCTGGCAAACCGAGAGCAGCGGTGCGTATCGAGGTGTGCTCTGGCAAGCCACCTCCACCGAAGCCTACGAACTCAGGTTACGTCATCTCCGCAGGCGTATCCGGGTCGATTGTCTAACTTTGGTGAGGGATGCTTTTGCATTATCGGGGGAGGGGAGGGGAGGGGTGAAAAGGATCTCGACGTACAAGGATGTTTTTAGAGGGACATTGACTGGATTTCCTTCGCGCGGCACCCGATAGCTTGCCAGCGTCTCTTCCTCTACATCGCTTCCTCAACCCTGACATTTACGCAACTACTCAATCTACTCGAGTCGCAGCCCAACTGTCGACAGCTTGATCTAGTGGTGGGTCAATTTAAACTGTTTTAACCCGATTTTGCAAGTATTTATATTCTTATTTCTATTTCTGTCATTTTTTCTTCGTTTATAAATTTAATTAATTTTTTCTATTAATTAAATTATGACCCATTTTTCAGGTGGAAGGAACGTTGGCGCCACCCCCTTGGGCGTTCCCCGGCCGCCTCGGGCATCACCTGCTCGGCCGCCTTGAAAATCTTCGACTCGTCGGCCCAGGAGCACTCGCACTCGTCCCCCTCGATAATAGCGTACGCTTTTTTTTCCGCTTGCTAGATGGTTTTTACAGATCCTCCGACGTCGTCAATACACTCAGCTGTACGCCGTGGACGACGGAGAGCCACGCGTCACCTCTCAAGGCCTCATTGCCGTCGTCGATGAGTGGCGGCATCGAGGCCGGCGAGTCGAATACATCGCACTCCGGGTCGCCGGTGACGAGGCTCAGCGGCATCAGGTATCGTTAGATTAAAACCAATCCTAAAATTTTTATTTTATCTTATTTATAATCCTAAAATAAATTTTTGGCAAAACTTTTAAAATTTAGAATTTTTTAAGTGTTGTTTTTTAGCTGTTCTAGGTGTCTAACGTACTTTTAACGAATTTAAACGCAAAAAAACTGTATTTAAGTTCCACCTGCACTTCCCGGATGCGGCCGTGGTTAACGTGCGGCCGGAGGGCGCGGTCGACGGGCACTTGGAGCGGATATCGGCCCTCAACCGCACCTCCGATACCTCATTTGCTGGCCATGATCTCCAACAGGGTGGATCCCGATCGATACGAGTAAGTCGCAATCGGAACCCGAATTCGAAAGAATCAACTATAATAATTTTCTTGAGGTGTTTCCTTTCTTCTGTGCGTTGTCCCAGATTCAACTCGAAGGGGAGAGGGCTAGAGCGCTCTTTCTTCGGATAGAGCATGGTCAGAAACCCCCAAACTGATAAAAAAATTATGAAAAAGTTTTAATTTAAATTATTAAAATTAACTTTGAAAGTTTTTTCCTTAGTAAAAGCAGGGGGACGGAGGTTTGCCCGATTTCGGACATAGTGAGCCAGGTCGCGCGCGGTTCGGCCAGGGGAGGGCCCGCAGGGAGTAGCCCGAAGTCCGGCCGCTTGCAGCGGCGAAGCCGCTGGAAGCGGCTGGTGTAGCTAGATTTAGTAAACTTGAAAAAGCGCTGGAAAGTATCGACTTTTTTAGAAAATACTTCTCCTCCAAAAAAACAACACCATGAAACCACTAGATTTTCCAATAAAAGCAGGAAAAACTCTAGAAAAACTTCTGATGATCTTTGCAATAGAAAATTCTATAATAACAATAGGAAAAAGTTTACCCCTTTTCAGCATCACCCTGCAGCTGCTCATCGAAAGCGAACAGCCGGGCGTCTACAAGCGGGCCATATAGCCGACACTCCCTCAGTTTCCATAAACTCTAAAAAAATGTTAATAAAATATTTTTCGGTAAATTTTATGCTTGTTCTATCTGCAATACGATTTGGACTTTATTGCAAACAAAAGAAATGAAAATCACTTAGAGACGTCACGTCAAGGCACATTATGAGGAAAAACTCCGAAAAACTTGTAAATCACAAAAATAAATATGTATGGCCACCACCAATTTCAAATTTCCCCCGTATCACAAATATTCGAGCACCCCAGTCGAGACGAAAACGGGATATATTACAAACAAATAGAATTTCACGAATGTGTTTGCTAGATCAAAGAAAGGAGCAGAATATTTCGAGGCGAACGATGTCTAGAAATGAGTTTGTAATGGGCCAAAAAGTACGGCCTAAACCCCATGGTACAACGAGAAGAAGTAGATGTACAGCAAAAAGACGGGGTAGAGCAGAAGGGGTCGCTTCTCCGTCAGCTCCTCGACGCAGAGCAAGTTGCCGGCGCTGTACACCGCCCAGATGATGCCGAACGTGCCGAGCAGGAAGGAGAAGGTTTGGAAGCTGAAAAATGAAAATTAAATATTCCTTGGCAATAAAATCTTTGTTCTTAATCCCCAAAACCGAATTCCCCTGCCTCCAAAACCCGGAATTCATGCAAAAAAAACTTTGAGGACATTTTTATCCCCAGCTCACCTAGAGGCAGTAAATCCAAGCCAAACAAAAAGCGAACTAAAAGAATAGAAAAACCCCGAGTAGAAAAATAGATACCTCTTTAGAAGCGACATGAAGACGCCGGTGACGACCAACGGGATCAAGCAGTAACCGACTATGCCGAGTACCTGGAATTTCAGATTCATAATTTTCAAAAAGGATCGTTGCCTGACTATAGCCAACATCACCGCCAAGCGCCCGCGCCAGGAAGAAGATGAGAAACGCGCCGCAAAACCAGATTGTCAGAATCCAAGAGACGACCTGAAAGAAAAAATCATGAAGAAGAAATTGCGTAAATTCCCCGGATAAAGAAAAACTAAGATTAAAAACCAACACTCATCTGGCCGTAAATCGACAGCAGCGCATAGGCGACGACCACCATCAGCGGGCCCCAGAAATCGGGCGATTCCCGAACGATGCTCAACTTCAACCTAAAAAGCGCGTTTTTGCCAAGAAAGTAAGGGCTTACCGGAAGTAGGGAAGCGGCAAGAGCACGCATCGCACTTTATAGTAGATGTCGGTCAAATCGATATCGAGTTCTTCCCTAAAATGGATATGGTAAATTTGGTACTTTCGCATTATCGGGGGGAGGGGCACCTTTTCCCTATATCCAAACGTAGAATAACATTTTAAGAGGATTTTTGGTAAAAAATCGCCGTTTTTTGTATTGTTTCCTGCAATTTGTAAAGCTTTTCCGTTTAGGGATAGTAAACACAACTTAAAAACATTTCCTATAAGAAAAAAAAATCGATACTTAGAAAAAAGTCTATTCCCCCGACAATGCGAAAGAACCGTAAATTTAAAACTTACAAGAGCGGCTTTTGATTTTCCTCTTCGTCGTCAACGTCGAGTAACCAGCCGAATCCGCGGTTTTCCAGGAATTTGCCCGCATAACCTAAAATTTCATTGCAAAGTGAAAATCAATCAGGATTACCGGCATTTTGGCGACGATATGCACCGGAAGAGGCGGCTGGCGCGGAGGAGAGGTTCCCGGAAAGGTCGTAGCCTAGAAAAAGTAAATATTTTGCAAGTTTTCTAGCCAAACCACTAGAGAAAGCTAAAAAGGCTATAAACACCTACCAGTCTTTTCGTATCCCTGCTGTTCCGACGAGCTGGCATAGGTGCCCGAGTCGTAGAAGCCTAAAATCACACAAAAATTGAGGGCAAAACGGTAAAACCTACCCAAATTGTCGATGCCGCTGACGTCGCCGAGGTCGATGGCCGTCTGGGAGGAGGACTAATACAGTTTTGGGCTCGAAAATTAGAAAATTACCTGCTGGGCGCCGGGGTTCGGGCTGTTCATGTAGGCGGGTGGGGGCTCCATCTGGAGGCCTGGAAAACTGTATAATTTAATAAACTTTTGAAAGAACAGATAAGAACAGAAAAGAAAAAGAAAGAGCGGAATCGAGGCAAAGGCATCAGAAATCCTATAAAGAAAGTAAATTAGCATAAAAACTGGAGATGATAAAAGTCAACGAAATCCCGGAAATTGCTCATCTAAATCAATCTATTTCCATGCGTTCCCCAGTATATAAGAAGCCCAAGACGAGCCCGAAGTACCCAAACTTCAACCTCGAAGATGGCCCAATCCGTCGCTCCCGGTGACATCACCACCCAGCCCGGCACGAAGATTGTCTTCAACGCCCCCTACGATGACAAGCACACCTACCACATCAAGGTGATCAACTCTGGCGGCCGCCGCATCGGATGGGCCTTCAAGACCACCAACATGAAGCGCCTCGGAGTCGACCCGCCGTGCGGTGTCCTCGACCCCAAGGAGCAGGTTCTGGTGAGTGTTTTTCGACTCATTGAACCGCTTGCTACTGCTGTTAATCTTCTATCACCCCGCTTCTAGGTGGCCGTCTCGTGCGACTCCTTCCAGTTCGGAGCTGAGGACACCAACAACGACCGTGTCACCATCGAGTGGACCAACACCCCCGACGGCGCCGCCAAGCAGTTCCGCCGCGAGTGGTTCCAGGGCGACGGCATGGTCCGCAGGAAGAACCTCCCCATCGAGTACAACCCCTAAACGGCTTGTCGCCCAACAGCGCTTCCCAATAAACGATTGAGCCTTATTTGATTGTTGTCGGCACTTTCCCCTACATTTCACAAAAATTACACATTTACAAGACAAGCAGTTCGGTACAGAGCCTGGAAGGATTGTCGTTATGGCTGTGCCGTTCTTCATGTTTTGTCGAGTCATCTTGTGTTTGCGGTTGGGGTTGTAATACCGGGTTCTTTCAGAACGGAAACCCATTTTCTTTTTAGCAGTGGCATCAAAAATCAGCGCAGTTTGAACTAGTTGGAAAGAGCAAAAAAATGAAATGAAAAAAAACAAGATTTGAGCCTTTCAAATCATCTCCCAGCCGGAATTACTGGCTTTTTCAACGAACTCGCCTCGGGAACTGAAAGAGACAGATCAGTTTGAAATAAACGCATCAAAAAAGAGGATCGACTTTTGAACTGAGATGGTACGTGCCAAAATTAAAGACAAATAATATGAAAGCCTTCCGGGGCTTTTAAAATTAGTCTAATGACGGGAATTTGGGCTTCTTCAACGAAATCGCCGCCGGATCTTCGTGGCAAGGCTGCGGGTTGAGGGAAACGGCGGCTAAAGCGCACCCGGTGAGGCTGGAAAGGAGGGTTGCGTGGCGCTCGGCGGAGCCTCTACACGTCGCCCCCAAACTGGCCCCCGACAGCATAATCGGCTTGTTTTTTCGAGTTTTCGTTGGCAATGCCCCTGAAAATGCCTGAAAATAAGCTTAAAACCGGTATGAATCGCATTAAAGTTATATCTTTTTAATACATCGATCGATCGATAAACGGAAATCCATCCTTTCTGTACGCTTTACAACAACTGACGATATTATGTCATTTCGTATTGAAGTGTTGTTTGAGCTGCGAAAAACTTTCGAAAATTGGCTTATCGAACTTTTTCAGCTTTGTAAAATGCTACTTTTTCAGCCTTTATGCAATAAAATAGTAGCTAAATTTATATAATAAAGTTATTTTCCTTTTTGTCTCAAATTGACGAAATTTGGAAATTCTTATCGTTTTGTGTACACTTTACACCAAATTACGCTGTTTTGTAGAGTGTAATGAAATGTTGTTTGGTTTTGATTTTTTTAACCGGCGTGCGTAAATTTTATGAAACTCTTACCGATTTGAAATGTTTTACTTTGAATTCTAGCACTTTCCTAATGGCTAATGCCTTGTTTTCCTTTTTCTTCAAAACTACACCTCTTTTAATGGCCTCAATTCAATACGACGTTTCCTTGTTTTCAGGTAATCATTCTAAGATCAACGATGAGATTGCTGTTGGCGCTTGCCGTGCTGATTCAGGTATTTTTCGTTTTTGTTGTGTTTTGTTTTGTAATAGTGACGATAAAATGAGTAGTTTTTGTGGTTTCCGGTGTATCCATCCATTTTAGTGCGCCGCTGCCCTGCGCTTCTACGTGCCGGCCAACGGGAAGCAGTGCCTGAAGGAGGAGATTCACAAGAACATCGTCGTCACCGGCGAGTACGAGATCACCGAGGGCATCGGCTACACGCAGAGCATTCATGTACGTTTTTAAAGCCGTAGATCGCTGCTTAGCGTTATTTCGTCGTATTTTTCCGAAAAAATCTATGTTTTCTAGGTCACCGACACTCGCGGCCACACCCTCTACAAGCGCGAGAACTTCCATGTATGAGATCTCGTTTACGGAAAGATTATTGTTGTTTGTTTAGGACACCAAGGGCAAATTCGCCTTCACCACTGAAGAGTACGACATCTTCGAGGTGTGCTTCACCAACACTGCCCCTCCAAGTAACCGGCACTTTTCTTTATCGTACTAATCCCAGGTATAGACCAAGTGGGCGAGAAGCGCGAATTCTCGCTGACGATGAAGCACGGCGTCGAGGCCAAGAATTACGACGATATCGCCAAGGCCGAGAAGCTGAAGCCGCTTGAGGTAATGCTTGCCTGACGTTTACCTGATGTTACGGGTTTTCGTTTGGAAGCTGTTTCTGAGAGGTTTTGGAAATTTGGAGTGCTTATCATGTTTTGATTACTTTTTGAAGCCTCGGCTTTTCAATTTTGTAATTTGCCCGAAATTTATGTAAACCTCTTTCTAGGTGGAATTGCGACGACTCGAGGATCTTTCCGAGGCTATCGTCAAGGATTTCGCCTTCATGCGCCAGCGCGAAGAGGAGATGCGCAACACCAATGGTCCGTTTTTCTTCTCCGAGATTTCACAAGCAATTTTGTCGTTATTCTTGATTTCCGTGAATTCATTATTTTTTAGAATCCACCAACTCGCGTGTGCTCTACCTGTCCATCTTCTCGATGCTGTGCTTACTCGGGTTGGCCATGTGGCAGGTGCGTTTTTGGGTTCTTCCACAATTTCGGAGCTGGGAACCAACTTTTTTTTCTGAATATCCTATTTTTCTGATATTAATGGAAAGAGTGTTTTTAATCTTTTTTTTGCCTTTCCGAAAGGTGAAGCGTTACAAATTTTGGTTAAGCCAAAAATATCGATTTTCAACCAAAAATGAAAAACCAAGAAATGTTTAAAAGTTTTTTAATAGAGTTTTCCACTCGAAATATCGTTAAATGTTGCTAGAAACACTATTAAAACTCTTGCTATTACGGTATTAGCCACTGCGATATTGCGAAAACACTGGATTTTGCTATTATTTTTTCACTTTACGTATTTCGAAGCTTTACCTAAAATCGGCGCTGATTTTGTGACAAAACTTTGTAAAAACCAGCTTTTTGAGGCGCTTTTCAACAGCTCCGTGCCCGATACGCTACTATTCTTCGTTTTCCAGGTGCTCTTCCTCCGCAACTACTTCAAGGCCAAGAAGCTCATCGAGTAAACAGACGTGTGCGCCGTCCCTCCCGACACCCCCATCCAGCGACAAGCCTTCCGTTCACTTACCTGCTGCAAATAGTGTGTGCCGTCTCTTCATCTGAAGGTCGAGGAGCTCCCTTCGACAATCCTCCAGTGTGATATCCGTGCCGTTCTGTGCTCCAGAACGGGTCCCCTCGCCCATTCTCTTCCTGCCAAAATCGCGCCTCACCCTTTTAGAATATCCTCATCACCCATGTCTCCATTCATAATTTCGCCTCGACTTTGTTTCTTTATCCCTGTGTCCCACGCAAAGTCTCTGAAGCCGCAGCCCCCTCCAAATCCCCCTCTCCAATGTAATGATGATGATGTGTAATTTATTGTATTTCGCCATACGGTTACTTGTCCATTGCGGCCGCCTCGTCTGGATTTCGAGTAAACACGAATGATCCCATGTGAAGCGCACAGTTTCTCTTTTCATTGGCTGTAACAAAATCGTTTTTCCCGGGGTCCCTCCTTTTTTTCCTGTTGAGCGATGAGGTTTGTTTTGTAGTGAGAAATAAAGTATTTATTCAAATCATTGTTTTTAGTATCCTTTACAAGAGGAAATTTCCTTGAAAACTTATCTGCAAGCTTGTGAAAGGCATGGCATGAGATTTGATGCAAACGGAAATCCCGCTGCTTGTCATTTTTATAGGGATTCAGAAGCAAAAAAAAAACGTTGCCGCCAGGCCCTCGATCAAAAATGATCGATCTTGGTTCAAAAGGCACTTTCGAATCCCTGTCAAACCGTTCAGATCCCCGGTTTCCACCCTACCCCCGTGTTGCTTGCGATCGACTAAAAGATCTAACACTGATTTGACGTCCGAATAAAGCCATTTACCCGTCGAATGCCCTTTTGTGAAAAATAACACCAGAATCCCGACGAACCGCACGCAAACCGTCCAAAGCGAGACACCCGGCTTTCAGATAATATTGAATGGATGAGGAAAAGACGAAGGGTAGCCAGAATCCGCTCGAGTGTGGCGTTTGCCAGAAGGTAATTTGCGCGCAGGGTGGTACTTCTTGTTATTTGAAAAACAATTGGCAAAAGTGCATGAGTGGCGAATAAAAAAGGTAATAAAAGAGAAAGTGTTTTAAACTGTTTTTTATTATGCCTAAATGCAAAAACTTTACAAATTTTGATTAAAAAATGCAAAAAATATAGTTTTTTGCGACGAAAATTGTTAGAAACGTTTTTTTACTGTTTTTCCACTGAAAATGCAGCTAAATTTTACCAAAAAATATTACGTTACTGGCATTTCTGGCTCTATAAAAAAAGGCCCCCCCCCCGATAATGGGAAAGAGCCTCTATTTCAAGCGTTGCTTTAGGAATTCAACAACCCGGTCCACCTGCCCTGTCTCCACGTCTTCTGCAACGGCTGTATAGGCGGAGAAGCCGGAGGTAAAGCAACAGACTTTTTCAACACCCCAAATAATTTCAGGCACGTCACCACGGCCGCTATGTTGCCCGGAGTGCCAGGAGCCGCTGGGCGAGTCGCCGCCGATCGACCTGCTCGCCAAGTACCTCGTCGACACGGCGCACGAGCCGGCCGAGGTGTGCGCAAATTGCGATCAGGTGTGTCTTGGAATTTCTCCGAACTTTCCATAGGATTCGAATAATGAGCCATGTATGCACTTTTTAAACCTTTTTGACGCCGTTTTTACGTATAAAAGTCTAAAAATACGTAATGTGCCTAAAAATATAAAATTTGTCGAATTTTTTGTATAGATTTGTTTACAAAAAGTTATTTGAACTATCACCACTTTGACATTTTGAAATTTTGGTGTAACTTTCATGACCTTTTAGTAAGCAAAAACGACTAAAACCCATAAAAATACACTATGAAACGCTAAAACACTCACTAAAAGGGCAGACCCGGCTTATTTGCAACTTACTTATAACTTAATTCAGATAGCGCAACCCATGTTCTTCTGCGAGACGTGCCAGCAAGCCCTCTGCGTCGGCTGCCGCCAGAATACGCATCAGGTTTGGCAAATCGGCCTTCGATTTAAATTACCGATTTTCTAGGCCAAAATGTTCTCCACGCATCGCATGATCTCGCTGGAGGAACGGGCGAGGGTCAGGTGAGTTGGAAATCTATGTATAAAAATATAAATTTAGGGGTCGTGTGAGCTGCGCGCAGCACGGAGAGCCCTACATTTTGTACTGCGTCGACGAGAAGCGGCTAGTCTGCATTCAGTGTTTTAATGGGAGACCGCTGGAGTCGAGGTTCGGTTTTGAATGTTATTACAAGGGTTTTTCTTTTTTCTTTCAAGGATTTTCTAGAAGCAATCGAGTTTTTAGCGTCGCAAGTAGTGTAATTTTTTTCGTTTCGACTTGCAAATTAACTTTACGACTCAAGATTCGTGTTCTTGCTTTTTTTATTAAAGAAATTACGCAAATCTAAAAGGGTACGCTGTTTTCGACGGCTTTTTAAAAGGCCCATTTCATATAAAAGTCTGTTTTCTTCTAAAATCTTCTAAAATAAAGAATATGTTTCGTCGTTTTAGCTTGTAAAATTTACAAACTTTTGTAAAAAATCGAGTAGTTTTTATTATATTAAAAGGGGTATTAAAATATACTGCAAAATCGAGACCCCAAACGCCGTTTGTTTTTCGGTGAAAATAAGGGCAATTTTGGGCGTATTCTATTGTAAAATTGTAATCTTTATTAATATAAATACTATAGAATTTTACATTGCTAAAATCTAATTTACCGGAGATTGTTCCAATCGAGAAATTTATATTTTTTACTATTTTTTAAATCAAAATTTGTAAAGGCGTCGCGTTTTTAGTTTGTAAAATTTGGTAGTTTTTCTTAGAAAAGGTATTTTAATTTATTATACTTCGTAAAGAGTAAAATAATCATCCAAAATCCCGGGTAGCAAATTGCCGGATTAGGCACCCCGACCCAAGACCCCCTTTCACCCCCCAATGCCCCCTGTGCGCGTGGTAGATTGGTAAGGGGGCGGGGCTGCGGGGAAAAGGGCCCGGGTTCGACCCTCCCCTCGTGCACAAAGCCGGGTCGCTGTTGCCTCTACGATGGTCAGTGGCCGGTTCTTGCCGAGGGACATTATAATACGGGACCCACCAGACACCGGATCGCCTATCCCGGGCAGTACGGTCGGTGTGAGGTGCACATTTTAGGGTTGGTCTAAACTCTTTTTGACTATCCTTACCGTAAAAACTACAAGTTTGTCTTAAAAATACAATCATACCGATTTTTTTTAAGCCAAAATTTAGGATTTCGAAAAATTTTAGAGGTTTTCTGATAGTTTTATACTTGGTACTTGCATGAGGTTAAATTGGTGTGGATAATTATTTAAATTGTTTTTGAATTACGTACTATTAAATACTAGGAATTTCCGGAATTGTAGGAGCCCCTCTCCCCCCGATAATACGAAAGTACCTTCTTTTAAAATATTGGTTTTTTGGAAAGAATTGACTTATCCGCTTCATTTTCAGTCTGTTTAAAGCAAATCTGTTAGCTGAATTATCAGCTTGATCTTTCAGACACAGCTTCGTCTCGATCGAGACGGCCCACGCCGGAAATGTGGAGAAAATGGAGAAATGGGTCAACAAGCTGCGGCTATATCAGGTTGGTCAAACGATTTTAAAATAGTCGAAGTATTTTTTAGTTTTTAAAATGGATAATATAATGTAATAGTTTATATAATGGCTAAATACATTTAAATTCTATAACAAAATACACAAGCCTTTTTCAGCTCGAAAAACGCGAGGAGGTGGATGTGCGGAAGCGGATGCTGGCCGAGGTCGAGGAGCGCTTCAGCCGCGAGAATTCTGCGTAATGCCCCGTATTTTAGACACTTCCATGGCATTATTTAGCATCACGCAACTCTGCCAGGACATTCACGAATCGGTCAACTTTGTGCGCGACACCACCCTCGAGCAGATGGGCCTCGGCAAGAAGGAGCTCGAGGCGGACTGTCGCGCTCAGATGGCCGAGCTGAACAGCTTGATGGTAGCGCAATCTCTCGCTGTAGCTCTCTCTCTCTCTCTCTCTCTCTCTCTCTCTCTCTCTCTCTCTCCCTCTCTCCCTCTCTCCTCTCCCTCAAGAAATTTAATTTTTAGGCCCCAATTCGGCTCTACCTGCTCAGCTCCCAGATTCTCTGCTCGTCGGCGTCGAAGATTGATTTTCTACAATTTTATGCCGATCTCGTCAAGCGGATACAAGTCAGGAATTTGCAAATTTTTGGCAAAGAATTTTAGGTGGTTCTTGGCAAGTCGATCGGCCGCCCTCCGCTGCTACAGTGGAAAGACATCGACTCGATCAGGGCCGAGTTGGCCAAGGTGGGAAGGCAGTTATACCGAATTAGAATAGTGGAAACTTTTGGATTTAGGTACCATTCCAAAGCCTAGAAAATGATGAATAATTTGGAGTTGCTAACCGACTTATCATTAGAAGGCTTTTTGATGGAAATAATTTTTTTGTCACGTTTTAGGCGCTGGAGCCGCACATCGGGATGTCAGCCGCCTGGATGCCCCCGCCGGCGCGCGAGGCCCGAGAAGGCTCCGGAAGTGCGAGTTATAAAGGGAACCGGTCTGTATTTTCGGCCTATCAACAGAAAAAATGTTGCATGAAGTGTTTTCATTTAAATTTTATTGATTGTGAAATTTCTAGTACTCCAGTAGCCTGGCGATCAAAACCGGGCGTTTCTACCTATTTTTTTTTGTCATAATTAAGGAAGTTGTGAAGCGGCAACGTCTTTTAAAAGACAAAAGATGATTCGATGTTTATGGAAAAAAAATAGGATGAGAAACCTGTATTTTTAGATCGCTGCCCCAGCACGGCTTCCAGGGCGTCCTCACCAAGTACCAGATCATGGTCGACCTCGCCGGTGCCTTTGGCGAACACTTTGCTCGCATTGATATGCCTTTAAAAGTGGGATTTCTGGTTTACTGCAAAAAAGACACTTTTAGGACTTATCGAACGAGCTGGCCGACCTCTCGAAACGCGTCCAAGAAGCGCAGCGAGATCTAACGCGCCGGAAGGTGCTGCTCAAGCCGAGCTACATCGAGGCGTTGATCGAACGGTGTAAATTTTATTTTTTAATTAAATTCCTTGTCTTGTTCCAGTTGTGCCACCGTCGACTCTCGCCTCGGCATGCATTCGGCCGTCATTTCCGAGCTGCAGCCAGACTTGCAAGAGCTCTGGCAAGAAGCCTTGGATCGGGTTCGCAGACAGCAAATTATGTACAGGGAAAAGGTGAGAATTGGGATGTAATTTTTTGTACATACATTGATTCGATAGGTGGAACTTTCAATGAGACTACGCGAGACGGCACGCCAAGTCCTGACCGCCGTCAAGCAGTTGGCCCCGTTTGCCAAGTGTCTGGAGAGCATGTCGGCCACCATTGATCCAAAGCAAGGTTTATAAGTAATAATAGCAAGAATTTAATTTAACTGAATTTAAGAATTAAAATAATGATCGGTTCTTCTCTATTAGCGGCGAGGTTTAACGGACAACAGCTAATTTTGGTTTTTTTCGGCATAGGCTAACTGTTGATGATACATAATTCATCTTATATACTTTTTTTAATAGTTTTTGATTGCTAAAAAGTTAAGAATGATTTTTAAAAAGTTGGAAAATTAGAAAATTTGAAGTTTTTTAATTATTTTTGCTATACTTTTGACCAAAGACTCAAAAATTTCGTATTTTTAAATTTTTTACGTGCTTTTTATGTCTGAAACGTGTCCATGCTTTAAAAATGGCCTATGTTAACTATAAAGTTGTGCGGAATTCCTGGAAAAAAATCGTAATAAACGTAGTGTAGTAAAGTATTAACAAAAGTATCGTTTTTTTAGGCGCTGTCATCCGCCAGATCCCGCCCCGATGGAGCGCATTTGCCTTCAGATCTCGACGCTGGAGCCGGACTCGGAGCGAAGGATACAGGCAATAGAAGAGGTAAGAGAGGAGGAGGGAGAGAGATAGAGAGCGAGAGAGCGAGAGAGCGAGAGCTGCAGACATACCGAGAGAACCAGAAAAGTCGTCCAAAATTTCTCTTTTTAGGAAGAAAACAACCGTCGAGTCGCGCAAGAGCAAAAACGACGCCAAGAAGAGGAGCAGCGCAGCGCTGTTGGCAAACTTCACAAAGCTAAAGGTAACTTAAATGCCTTAGTAAATTTATAATAGAAAAAAACAACATTTTTATTCCCATTTATTTTTAGGCAAAAAGAAGGCCACGCCGCTGCTGATGATTTCCGGCGATCGAGAGCGGAGCCCCGGCGGCACCGACTCGATGCTGATCAGCCCGCTCGTCAAGAGGTGCGCTTTTATGGTGAAACTCACAGTTGCTGCTCAATTCCAGCCCTCAGCCGACGATTTGCTGCGGCAACCTGTCCGACCAGACCTACGACTCGGAGGACGAGCTGCCCGGGGTAAGCTTGAAAATTAATTTTCGAGCTCAGGACCGTTTTTAGCCCTCAAATGCCAACTCCGTCACCTTCGCCCTGCCGCTGCAAAATGAGCCGGACAGTTCGGTGAGGGAAAAGACAGGCGGGATGTAGAATTTGGCGCCGCGTTCGAATCTGCTCTCAAAAATTGGCGGAACAAAGTTATTTCAAGTCTTGCAATGAATTCGAAGGCAGAAAGACGCGAAAAATCGATTAGTTAGCTGTTTCCGCATACTTCTGCTCAATCAGCGATATTCCGTAAATTCTAAGAGCAGCTTCGGAATGGGGCTAAAATTCTGCACAAGACCGGCGTGTTGCCGTTTCGAAGAGTTGTATTTTGAGCTGGTTTTCTCTTTGAAAACTCAGAAATTTTTTTAGCTATTCGATTCGCGAGCGATGAGGTCCCCATCCCCGACAACTGTCAAAAATATTGGCCAGCTTCTCCTCAGCTTGACGGTATTTTTCTTACTTTTTCGCCTTAAAAATTCTGTTCAGCAAAACAAGCCGGAAATCGCCGTCTCGCCCACGCCAACAGAGTCCGACTGGTCGGTGGCTAGCCAGGAAACTGAGGAGTAGGTTTTTGCAAATTTTTTCTATTATTTTGATTTTCAGGCTTGAAAGGCTGAAAAAGATCTCCGAATCCGGCACGATGAAGGGCAAATCGAAAAGGGCAAAGGAGCCGGTGAAAGAAATGGTAACTATTTTTTGGGTATTTTATTACGTTATTTCCAGCCTATCCCGACAATCGGCATCAGTAGCGACGCGTTGGCGGGCCGCATCACGGCCAACGTCGAAAATTCCCGGGATACGGTTTTGCGGGCGCTGCACGATGTGTTTTCAGAAAGGGCCGAGGTAACGTGGATTCTTACCGTTTCCCAGCAAAACCTAAATTTTCAGGAAGACACCGTGGTCGTCGAGCGGCCGAACGTGCTGGCGAGCGCGGTGAAGGAGGCGGAGAAGCGGTTGAAGGAGAAGGAGCCTTCGAAAACCGGCCCAAGCCGTCCGACCGGCTCCCGGCGGAAAACGGTGTCGATTAGCGAGACGATGGCGGAGGTGAAGCTGAAGGAGGAGGAGGATGGGTCTCTGATCCCGAGGCCGAATTCTACGCCCGTTCCGGTGCGTTTTTTTCTGAGGTAGAGCTAATGTAAGTTAAAGCTGGCCTATTTTTTGTTAAGCTACGGCTTTTAAACTATAAAAAATCCATAGAAAAAGATGTCAAAAAGTTTTAATTCTCCAGCTGCCACCACCCCTTCCGCCGAATCACCCAGAACCGGAACAACGCAAAAAGGAAGTCGTCCTGAAGCCGTTTGAGGCAAGGGAAAAGGTTAGTTGACAATATATTAAAGAAAATATTCCAAAATAAATATCAACAAAGCGACGAAAATGCCCCAAAACCGTGCATTTCAACTATCCGTTTTCTAACAGGTCCTGGAAAGCCTTCGCGAGCGGGTGCCGAGGCTGGATGCGACGCCCGAGCCGGAAGAATGAAGAAAAATCAACATTTCTATGAATAAAGGTTTTGACATTGATCCCCAGCAATTCGCACTTAATGGAATTGAGAGGTGGTTTTGCGAAAAAGTTCTAAAGGAAAAAATCAACATTTTTAGACGATTTGCATTTCCTGCTGGCTTCCGGTGCGTGCTTTATCTCGAGAATTCGGTCATTTTCTGTTTCTGGGAGCAATTTTTAGGTCCAACTTTATCAAAATTCATTTCCTTTTGGTCCTTATTTTGGTTTTGATATTTTGCGCGTAAAAATTGAAGTGATTCTTTTTTCTGCAGCTCGCGCTTCGAAAGTCTTGGGTGAAAGATGATGCCTAACAGCGTTTTCTTTCTCTTTATTGCCTGATTCTCAACTTTACTTTATAATAATTCTTTTTCTATTTATAAATTTAGGTATATCGCTTTTTTTGCTTTGCGATATTTTGCGATTTGGCTTTTATTGTCCGCCGCGTGCGCGTCTTATTTGGTTTTATTAGATCTTCTAGAATCAATCGATTATTGTATTTTACTTGTTTTCCACTTCTTTCTTTGGTCTCAAAATACCTTTTAAATAATCTTTTTAGGTACAGCAGCGGCCGTTCCAAATGGCGCCGATCCTTCGCTACAAATGCTTCAACTGCCCCAGTTGCGATCAGCCCTTCGAAAGCCAGCGCTTTCTCGCGAAGACGCCGATGATTGGCTTGACGGCGGGCCAGATGCAGATCTTCTGCCGCGATGCCCTCGATGATGTTCGAGCCCCGGCCCACTGGCTAATCGACCTGCTCGCCCAGCCCGCATTCGAGAAGAAGTCCGGCGGATACATCATGCACGGCAGCGCAGAACTCCCGCGCTGCCCCGGCTGCGATCGCTTCGTGATGAGCGTCGACACGCGCCGCCCGCATTTCCTGATGTGCGGCCACCTCATCTGTGAAGGCTGCCTCGCCACCAGCCCCGACAACCTGTGCTTCGCGTGCAACGCCTTCTTCGGACACGACGCCAACCCGCTGTGCAAGCCACTCGTCGCCTTTGCCGCCCACCTGCTCAGGTTAGATTGCGGTTGTTGGTTCTGGGCTATTAGCAGGGGGGTACCTTTTTGAAAGATACACGACTGTTGCAGCCTTTTATATCCCTTACGTATTAAAATTCTCGAACATTTTTGCTTGTTGGCCGTTAGAAACGGATAAAAAGGTAAAACTTTTCCTTTTTGTACGAATTTTCTCATTTTTCTGGAAATTACAATGACCTTTTGTTGCTTAAAATCACTAAAAACTCTTTAAAATTGAGTAGGAACGCTGAAAATGGCAAAACTTCGACTTTTTACCTCAAAATTTTATCTTTCGCGTTTTTTCGACTAAAAAGTGCCTTAATGTGCTGGTATTTCTGATATTCTTCCCAATTTGTAGCTGTTGATCGATGGGGACCCGCTACAAGTCGGGGTTAAAAGAAAAATTTCTTAGGCAGGTATAGCGAAGTACTCTCCGCCCCCCCTAACAGCCCAGCACTCGTTAAAAGCTAGCCCTCTTTAGCGAGAAGCCGGCCGACATCGTGGCGCTACTGCTGAAGGAAGATGCGGAGAAGCCGGATGTCCCCCTGGCCGCCTATATGGAATGCGGGGGTTGCGAGCTGCAGATGCCGATCGGCGGCCTGATCCAGTGCAACGACTGCTCGGTGGTGGCCTGCGGCAGTTGCTTCATCAGGGACCATAAGGAGCACGACATCACGGCACAGCTTGGCATCGAACTGTCCACCCTCCACGCGCAAACGTCTGCCCACGTGCTCGGTGTTTACGAGGGATACCGCAAGAATTTCCAGGTGGAGTTTTGTAAGCTTGAAATAAATGGAAAATCTGAGTTTGCGGGAGCTGGGGGATCGCCTTTTTTCTATAAACCAAACCATGCCTAGTAACGTCGGAACAAGTATTTTTGCGGACTTTTTCGCAAAAAAAAATTGCAATTAGAAAATACAAAAGCTATGTAGAAAACTTGAAAAAGTGCCGAAAACGGAGAAAATTTTGTAAAAAGTTATTTTTTGCAATTTTCCTTCAAATTGGCTGTTTTTTTACGTTTAGTGAAAACCGTTTGAAAACGCTTCGTCTGCTTATTTAGAAAAAATGGGTTCGTCAGGACAAAAGGCGATTTTTAAAGATCTTAAATGCAAAAATCTAGTAAACTATCATTTTTAGCACCTGCACGCCTCAATTCTCGACGGGCTGGACGCGATGGTCGCCGCAGGCGTCGAGAAGTTGAAGGACGTCACCGAGCAGCACACCTACGACGCCGGCAAAGAGGTCGCCGATCTGATCAGCCAGCTGACCGCCGACTTCGAGACGCAATGCGAGCTGTACATGCCTGTCGCCCGCAAGTTCAACGACCACCTCATCGACGTCAAGGAGCAGATGCAGATGAAGGAGCCGGACCCCCAAGATTCCGAAATCGCCAATGAAGCTTAATTCTGTGTATATTTATTTTTGCTTGTGTTTGTGCGTTAACCAATGTCTCTGTGGCCCCCTTCGACTCGTTCTAATCATTAAGAACCTTAATAATCTCGTAAGAGAACCTTTGAATAAATCGTGATGATGGTAACGCTGAAGCTAACCTCTGATGCGAGGCACGCCTAACTTTTTTTTATTTTTATTTCTCCGAGGTGCTTTTGCAATATCGCGCGGGGGGGGGGGGGTATTTTTTTAAACGACCAAATCTTTGGTCGAATTTGGTCACAAATTGATGTTTTTTTTTTGTATTTTTATATAACAATTTCAAAGTATTTACGCTTTTAGTCTCCGCGATTCCAAGAAAAAAAAATCGGTAATTTTATAACGGTTGGTTTTTTGTGCGTTTTTTCATTTAACGAAATTCAATCACGTCCTGCATACGTCGAAAGGTAAGTTTAAATTTTTATTGAATTTGTATGCATAGTTTGACTAAATTGCCGGGCGAACAGATTTTAGGATTTCATAATAACTCACCGAAACCTGAACTCATCCGACTTGACGGCACCTCCCCGTTCATGTCCATCTACACGTGCTTCAAGTGCCCCTATTCCGGACATGTTTTCGACAACAAAGAAGTGCTCAGCTACGCGCCCTACGTCGGCTCGTACGGCGGGGTGATGAGGATTGCGATCCGTGGCTATCTACAAACAGCGCTCGTGCCGGCCCACTGGCTGCTCGACCTCCTCCGCCAGCCCGTCTTCAAGCGGATGCGCTGTGGCTACACCCTCGAGGGCACCCCGGAACTGCCGCGATGCCCTGGCTGCGACAAATTCTTCATGGGCGTCCACTCTCGCCAGCCGCACTCTCTCAGGTACTGGGCTGTTAGCGGGGGGGGCTAACAACGGTGTTTCTCTTTTTACGACCCTATGGAACGATAGCCGAATGTTAACATTGTTGTTAACGTTGCTAACAATCCAGTACCCTTTCTCAGATGCGGTCACCTCATCTGCGATGCCTGCCTCGGCTCGAACACCAAGAAGAAGTGCCACGCGTGCCAAACCTTCTACGGAGATGATGTCGCCCAAAAATGCACGCTTCTGCTCGCCTTCCTGGAGCAGCTGCGCAAGGACAAGCCGGACGACCTGATCACGATGCTGCTCAAAGAAGGGAGCGGACAGCGGCCGATGCCCGCGAAGGAATGCCGCGGCTGCCGCATTTCGGGCCCAATTTCCGGGCTGATCAATTGCATGGACTGCTCGATGGTGACGTGTGGCGGTTGCTTCGTGAAGATGCACAAAGGGCACCACGGCGAGGCGCTGCTGGAGCTCGAACTCACGGCCCTCAAAAATCGCACGGCTGCCCACGTGATCGGCATCTTTGAGGGGTACGACAAAAATTTCCAGGTAACGTAAAAATGTAAAAATTCATTTGACGTAACCTTCATATTAATAAAACAGGCTATTTTGATAGTACTTTGAGCTATAAAAAACATGTTTCAATTAAAATTTTTGGCCAAAGGTAAAAAAATTTAGGTAAGGGCGTAAAAAGTCACCCCCGCTGAGGAAACAGAACCATTAATCCGCAAACGAGGATATCTCGATTCCATTTTTAGCACTTGCACGCCTCGATCCAGGAGGGAATGACGGCGCTGGCGAACGCTGGGATCGAGAAGCTGAAAGAAGTCTCCGAGCAGCAGGAGTACGGGGATGGCGAAAAACTCACCGATGGCCTCGTGAAACTGGCCGCCGACTTCGAGAAGCAATGCGAGGTCTACATGCCCGTCGCTCGCCAGTTCAACGACCACCTCATCGGCTTCAAGGAGCAGCTCGAGAAGAAGGAAGCGTCCAACGAAGTCGAAGCCTGAATCAATCTTTGGCCGTACAGACTGCATCCTCATCTCTTACTCGCTTAGACTTTTCCTACTAATCTTTGTGATATTCATCTACGTTCATTTCCTCACCTCCAATTCGTTGTAAATAGGCCCCTTTGACACTTCACTCTGTGATGCCACCTCGCCCCGTTTTGCTGCAAGAATCATTAACCCGGGTATAAATCGTCGAAATTGGGTGTTATTCTTCATGTTCTTTTCTCAATTCTGAAGTTTCCGGCCTCTGAAAAGCGATTTGAAGCTCTTACGAGCGTTTTAGCTTCAAAACGAATTTTCGCCGCTTTTGGCGCTTGTGAAATCCGAGTGCTCCTTTCAACGGGCCGCCCGTGTGACCGGGCTGCCAACTTGACTTGTGCGATTTCGATGTCGTAATCGCTAGTTAAAATTTTGTTAAATCGGAGAACCCTTGCTATTTTTGTTTTAATTTGTCCTCTTTTTGAATTTATTAAAATTCTTGCCCAGAATCTTAATTTTTGTAAATTTAGGATGCCGACAGATGGGGCGACGACGGGAAGGACGAATATATGGCTTGTCGTGGCGAAAGATGAGGTAAATTTTGATGGTTTTATAACATAAGACCGTAACGACCTTCTGATTATAATAATATCAATGTGCTTTATAGTGCGGGCTGACGCTGATCTCGAACGAGCCGGTGCAGGTGTGGCGACCGAATCTCTCCTCTTCCACCCTTCTGTCAACCCTCGAGATTGGTGACTGGGCCCAATTTGAGCTGGATTTGACGCCGGTGCGTTTTTTAAATAGGATAAGAGCTTTTTGATCATATTTTGGATGCTTAAAATGTCTCTTTTCAGGGTAAAAGTCGGGTCGCCAGCCTGGAGATCCTGAAAGATCAAGGCTTCCCGGATACGCAAATCGACAAGGATGGGCGAATTGAGGTAAGGAACGGTTTCAAAATAAACCCCAAATCCTTAGATCAAATGCCGAGCCATGCAGGCGCTGCGCTATTCCGATCGACGGCTGCGGACGGCGCCGTGTTGGGTGTGGTCGCCGGAAATTGGGGTTTGTTTTTATACCGCTTTTCGAGGCTCGTTTTGTGTTTTTGAAAACGGGTATGCGTTGGTGAAAATGTTGATGGATTTTTTTAGTACATCTACGATGCGGAACGAGAAATGACGGAGCTAAACGACTACAGCGTTGGCGTGATGTACAACGTGAAAGTGACGGTGATGGACATCACGAGAGTGGGTTTGACCCTTTAAACGAGAATTTTGAATTTTCAGAAGCTCAGCCACATCTCATCGTGCTTTCGGCTTGTCGAGGTCGGGGAAGAAGCCGCTGGGAATTCTGATCCGGTAGATTTGAATTTTTAAAAAGAGACGCATTTTTAGCCCTGGCTACAACAACTGGCTCCAATTCCAGCTGAGGTGGTGCAGAAAATAGTAAGTTTTTTTTCAGTATTAGCTTATGCTTATTAAGGCTTGGTTTAGCCTTGAAACCCTCTTTTCCAGCCCTCCTTCGACGCGCGCCGTTGCCTGCAGGGTGTCGCCTGCTACAAGCCGCCGATGGACGCGCTAGAAGGGCTGAAGCCGAAGCGCCGGAAGAGCTACGTCTGGACCCCGAATTACGGCATCTTCCCCTTTGCCGCGTCGCCGGATCCCTGGATTATCCAGGGCGATGACGTCATGTTCTGGCTTGAGGTAAGGATTGAGGTAAAAATTAATTTTAACTGTTTAGGACATCAATCGGCCTCCAAAGCCGAAGCCAGCGCGGAAGCCGGAGCTCGAGATCAGCGTCATTCGGGCCCGGAATTCGCAAAGTGATAGGGAAGACGAGGAAGAGGACGGCGAGGGCTCAGCGGGCGAAGAAGCCGATCGCCAATCAGTGGCCACTTCCGTGCAGACGGTTCAGCCGGAACCGGTGAAACGAGAGGTAGGTTTGTTTTTTAATTTTTGGAAGCTGCTCATCCAAAATTTTTTGGTGCTTTCGCATTATCGAGGGGATATGGGCCTAAGCATAGCGTTAAGCGTCAAAATCTACAAATTTTGATGGTAAAATACCAAAAATATAGATTTTTCGTCCAAAATTTCGACTGTAAAAGATTTTTTAAGTTTTAGATAGTTTTTCGAATTGAAACATAGTTTTATTTTACTACCAAACCTCTTTTCATAGCAAGAAATTAGATTTAGATGCCCCTGTTTTCAGAAAAACCCAAACCCGGTGTTCGAGGTGAAGAAGTGCATCCCGCTCAACGCGAAGGCGAACGTCGAAAAGGAGCAGTGCCTACAATCGGCGGCTATGGTAGGTTTTTTTATCAATTTCAGTGATTTTTAAAGAGTGCTTTATTCGTAGACATAATTAATGTTTTTTTAGATCACCACCGAAATCGTGGTCCCAAAGGCTGAGGACAAGTTCGTCCACCACACCTACTACGGAGCGGTAAACTATATTTTGATTTTTGGCTAAGTTTTACTGTTTCAAAAGTTTGTGAAATTATTTTCATTTGTAAGTATTTTCAATAGCTTAGCGTATTTTTATACGTCTTTTAGCGCAAATTAATTTTGCCAACTCTCTTACTTTCCAGATTTGGATCAAGAAGCTGTGCGAACAACTGGAGGCGCTCGAGCTCGATCTGGAGTGGATTGTGGTGGGTTGATTTTGGAGTTTGGAGCTTTTAGTTTATAGTTTTGGTTCTAATTTTATTTAGCTTTTACTGGTTCTTTTGCATTATCGGGGGGGACAGGTTTTGTTCTATAAATCCAAAAATGTTAGTTATTTAATAGAAGGTGTTTTAAAGGTCTTCTTAGTAAATTTACCAACCGCAATTATCATTTTCTAGTGGAAAAACAATCCAAAAAAATTTGGAAATTCGGAAATTGGCCATTTTTGCTCAAAAACCTGTATTTTTGCAAGTTTCAATAAAATTTTTACGTTTGGGATTAGTAAAAACAGTTTAGAAACGCTTGCGCTATTAATATTTTAAAAATTTGATCGTTAGATGAATGCGCCCTGTGAAATTTAAATTTAGGAAAACGCGTGGCCCGTCCGCATCCGCGCCATCTTCAACGAGGCGGCGATCGATCAGCGCGTCCGCAACACGGACACCGTCTACTGGCACCTGCATCGCGTCGAATCGGTATTTTTGCTTCAATTTTACAAATTTTCCTATTGTCAGGTTCGAGACTACCTGCCGAGGGTGTGACGCTCTACCTTTCTGGAGGAACAAGCATCAATTTACACTTTTTAATCACTTGAATATTGTCATTTTTTCACATTTGCACGCATTCGTGATCCGCCATTTTTTGGTTTTTTTTAGCTGGCTTCTTGTCATTTTTTGTACATCTTTTTGCTTATTGCCATTCCCTTACCACTTTAATATGTTTTTCAGGTTTGTTCTCATCATCTCGCTTGCTAACGTTTCTCAATTTGTCGGGTTTCTTTTTATATAAGCTGCGCCGGTGTTCCGATGAATAAATATTATGTATTTTTTCTGGCGTCTATTGCTTTGAACTCGGGTTTTGGTCCTCGATTTTTTCGGCTTCAATCGGCTTTGAAGAAACTCGATTTTTATGCGGAATTTTTGGAACCCCCGAATTTCAGGCGCCCAAAACCACTCGCCCGCTATTTCTCACTGATGAAGCAATGCCGCTGCGCTTTTTGAGGACTTTTCTGAACCAGGAGAAGACCATTCGGGAGGTGCGGATTTTGGGTTCTTTGGCATTGTCGGGGGGGACCAATTTTTTTTCTAAGGATTTCTCGCATAAATAGCTTTTCTAAGCTGTTTTTCCGATTGCTGGACGTAAAAACTTTATGAATTATGATTACAAATGCTAAAGATATCGATTTTTAGCCAAAATTTTAACTAAAATTTTTTCAAGGTTTTACCGTTTTCCCGTAAAAAATAATGAACATTTTCTAAACTTTTTTTTCTGAACGAGGAGAAGGCCATTCGGGAGGTGCGAGTTTTGTTTTGACTTCTTTTGCCATAAATATTCAGGGAACTATAGTTTATGTACAAACACTAAAATTCCGTTTCCAGATCGCCGATTCGCGTCCAGTCCGGCTAGCGGCCAGGGCAACGGTTCGCGCGTGGATCCTCGGCCGGCACAAGCTGGAGACCAGCGAGACTACAAAGAGGTTTAAGGTTGGGTTTTTTTTGAAAATTTGGCCTCTTGACGCTGGTTTATTAATGGTTGGGCGATCATATTTTCAACCTCAGATTTTTGGAAAAAAAATTGCTTTTTGAGAATCATGTTTCGAGAAACCTTTACTGAAGAGTCACTAGTCCGAAAATGATAATCTCGAGCATTTTGCAGTTTTTTCGCGTTTGGTAGCCTTTTTTATTGGTAATTTAACGCATGTTTTTGCAAAAGTTTTCTAGAACAAATTCTTCAAAAAATGACTCAAAAATTTTTACTATGTGTGAGGGAAAAAAATTGGTATGAAAACCTTCTAAAGTCAATTAAAATTATCTTGTTCCAGATCTTCAAGAACACGGTCAACGAGGAGTACACGCGCGCGCTGAAGAAGGGCGATGAAAAGTAGAAGCCCACCCTCCCTGCCACGCAACTATCGCCATGTATTTAGCGCCTTGAATAAATAGCTTCAATCGTCAAAGGTTTTGTTGCGTAATAACAGCGTCCAAGTGGCAGTTTTGTAGGAGGGTACAGGGACAGCGAGAGAACGCGACAAGAAACAGGACACGGACGAGGAGAAGCAGAGCGAGAGGCAAGGACAACCAAAACATTTTTGGACCGACAGGAAGGGTGTGTTTTTCTATTTTTAAAGTGCCTGAGGGGTTTAAGATAGCTCAGTGCGGCGGGTTTGAACGAAAAATGTGTATTTAAATTGTTTAAATTCCGGTTTAAAATTTTTAACGAGATTTGGTATTTAAATGCAGGTATTTAGCTTTCTTTCTACTACTAGAAAATCTATTTCTTCTTTCTGCGATAGCTAAAAAAATTTTATTACGTTTTTGTTGCCCGTTTCCGCTTCCGGTTTTCCGGACTATCCCTTCTTTTCAAATTGCTCAAATGGCCTCCGCTAGCTTGCTTCTAATCCTCCTACTTGCTCCGTTCATGGAAATTGCACATTTTTGTTAGATTTTTCGGCCTTTTTACGAGATTTGCTAGATTTTTACTTTTCGTCTCCGCTTAGCTTTTCCGCTTCTGCCTTTTCTGACAAAATAGGGTCACGCCAACCTCTCAAATCGCCTCTGCTAGCTTTCCTGGATTGCCGGCTAGCTTGGTCGTTCGAAACAGCACATTTTTGGATCTTTTCCACTTCCGGTTTTCCGGTCATTCATCCTTTTCAATATAACTTCCGCCGTTTCCGCAATATCCTCCGCTAGCTCGCCGGACCTCATGCTCAATCGGTCCAATGAAACAGCACATTTTCTGATCGTTTGCCACTCGTTTCCGCTTCCGGTTTTCCAAGCTCTTCCCCGTTAGCTTGGTCCTTTGTAACAACACATTTTCTCGGTCTTTTACCGCTCATTTCAGCTTCCGGTTTTCCGGACTATCTTCTAATCACTCGATTTTTTAGAATTACAATTTCTCAGCTTCTCAAATAACCTCCGCTCGCTTGCCCAAACGATTTGACGCTTTAAAATAAAGCCCAAACTGTTCCGATGGCCAGAATTCGCAACTCCGACTCCCCGGAGAAGCTCACGTCGTAAAAATGCTTGGGGCAGAACTAGCCGCTCGCCCCTTGGCCCCCGATGTTCTCTTATCAGCCTCAGCTCGTGTCCACCACCCCCTCATCAGATAGAAGCCGCCGTCCGGTAGCCGTGTTCGCCTTTCGATTTTTCGCCTGTTTTTACCTTGTCGGTCAACACTGGGCGTTTTTTAGGGCGCCTAACGCTTTCGAATTCGGCTTTATAATCCCGTAATTTTTCTAGATTGTAGCTTACAGCCTACGCCTTTTACGACAGATTTTCGAGTTGTTGGAACAGTATTTTAGAAGATTTTGTTTCCGCTGCCGTGTTTGCCTATCGATTTCTCTGCAGTAAAAACTCCCAAAATCCCAAATTTGAGCTTTCTCACGCTTCTGATTCGCCCTTTAAAGATTTAAAAAATACTTCAAAGATTTAATCAGCATTTTTTGATATTTTTGGGTCTATTTTTATCTTTTTTTTAGACTTTTTTTCGAAGCATTTTTAGATCCTAACGTATTTTTAAAATCTTCTAGTGCCGTTTTTACTATTTATAAGCATTTTTTCGAGGCTCTATAGCGTATTTCGTCGTTTTTTTTGTAGTTATAGTAACTTTTCCGAGATTCCGATTCCGCTACGTTACTCTGTGCGGGTTGATGATGATAAAGCGTGTCTCTGGCCCCCGCCCACCCTTCCAATTGCCCTCGTTAGGCACTGGGCACCGCAAAAAACGGCTGGGAACGAGTGGCAGAGAAGCGTCCAAACCCAGACCCAGAAAAATACGGGCCCGGGCCGGAAGTCCGTTTTTCTTGACGGTTCAAAGTTTTTGGCGCAACTGTCTGGTCGTTTTATCTGTATCTAATACTATTTTTTTGTAATTTAAGACGCAGGAATTTTAGCTTTACTGGCTATATTTAATTTTACCTGTTGCAATTTCTATAGTTTGAGAGGTGCCTTTGAACGATTTTCGCGCGTTTGGTGTACATTGTAGTTTAGTTGGTTCTGGACCGTTGGCGGAGGGGGACCAAATTTTTCCCTGTGATTATAGACGGTCCTATAACAAAAAAAAACCATTTTTTTAAGCATTTTTCATAGTTTTTGGATATGAAAACGATGTAAAAAATAAAAAATTTTAGAAAATTTTGACTTTTTGGTCGAAAATGTATGGAAAGTGACCAGAAAAGGTCAACATTTTCGAATTTTCAAAATTAAAAAAATATTTTATAACTTTCTATTATCAAAAACTAAAGTTAGACAAAGTAGTTTCAAAATTTTTCTGTTTTTTTTGAAGACTAGGCTATTTACAAGCTCCACGTTGATTTTCTAGCCTTTCTAAACCCTGCTTAAACTAATTTTCTAACTAACTAATTTTCCGAATTTGAACTTATCGCTTTTTTTTACACCAGAAGCCGTATTTTTGACGTGAGAATTCCCTAGATTTCTAAATCCTAAGCGAACATTCCGATGCATCACTGGAATTGCCAGTGTTCAGAGGTGTATCCCGTTGTTCCGGAATCCGGATGCTATGTGCCATTTTTTGGCGTCGGCGCGGCGTCCATCGGGGGTTGAGGGCCAAATTGGCCCTCCACGCCCGTTTGGCCATCCTCCTCTGCTTTGGCCGCTCTGCTCACCGACACTAAGCCGCAAACACAACCGACTGGCAAACGGCTTCTTCTTCTTTTCCTTGTTCTTCTTCTCTTTCTTGTTGGACTTCTCTTCTTCTTTTTTTTCTTGTTCCATTGGGTCCACCGATGACAGGCATTTTCCTGTTCCTTGGCTTAACACCTTTGACTCAACGAAAAGCCTCTTTTCCGGTCACTCTCCCTCTCTCTCTCTCTCTCTCTCTCTCTCTCTCTCTCTCTCTCTCTCTCTCTCTCTCTCTCTCTCTCTCTCTCTCTCTCTCTCTCTCTCTCTAGCTCTCTCTCACGCTCCAGATGTTGCGAATTTTTCGCGGATTCAGACTTGGTGCTTTCGCATTATCGGGGGGGCACTTTTTTGTACTTTTTTGTTTTGTTTTGTAAAACTAACTATTTCCCAACTAGAAAACTATCTAAAAACCTTGAAAAAGTCGAAATTTTGGTAATATCGTATTTCATATGGTAATCGATTTGGTGCACGTTTTCGACAGATCTGACATTTTTTCGGACTGCAAAAGTTTTCGTACCGACCGTTAAAGGCACCGGCAAGTCCGAGCCTCAGTGGGTTACGCCATGGAATTCGTTGCAATTCATTTTCATTTCGAACAGGGCAGGCAAGCAGAAATGTTAAAAAAATTTGATTGGGGCTGGCTAGAAACTATTTTTTAAGTTTATAGCTGTTTATAGGTTTTTTCGATTTTTTTTGAAACTATTGTTTTCCTTTTTCTTTTGAGGCTATTTCCAGGCGGAAGAAGCCATTTTAGAAGTCCCTAACCCCCTCGTTTTACGGCTTCTCCCCGCCCTTATTTGACAGCCACCCACGGCACTTCACTACACTACATAGATTGACCTTTTTTATTTGTTGACTGTGGTGAGCCAATAGCCCCCCGGCGGGCCTTTTGCCCCCCTTCCGGCCATCCACCAGCACATAATCGCATTCCACCACTCGCCCCGGCCATTTATCGGCGCTTCCGAAATTCTAGGAAAAAAATTCTTTCCAGGAAAATTCTGGAGAAAATGACATTTCGAACATATTTAAAGTAATTAAATTAGGTGAAATGGATTTTTCAGTATTTTTAAGACTAGAGAGACATTTTCTGGGATTTAGGATTTCTGGGATCTAGAGAAAAAGACAGTTTAGACAATTTTTTATCGTGATCAAATTATAGTTATTTGCTTTGTTTTAGATTTAGTTTTATGAATTTGTTGAATTTTTCCTTTTTAAGACGAGGGAGATTTTTCGGCCCTCACTCGGAATTTGCAGCAGATTTCAGAGAAAGAGACAATTTTCGATAATTTATTTGTTACTTTGTAAAATAAAATATAATTTATATTGATAACTTTAAACTTTAAAATATAACTAAAATATATTGTTCTTATACTCGAACCCTGGCATATTGAAGCGGAAATAATATCGCCGTTTCGCGCTATTAAATTTAGCCCTTCCTGAATCGGGAATGACTACGGTTCGGGGGTAAAAGTATAAAATTTTTTTGGAATCTCTCGCTCTCGCTCTCCCTCTCCCTCTCCTCCCCTCTCTCTCTCTCCCTCTCCCCCATCCTCTCCCTCTCTCTCCCCCCCCCTCTCTCTCTCTCTCTCTCTCTCTCCTCTACCTCTCCCTCTCTTTCTCCCCCACACCCTCCCTGAAAGTTATTTTTCTCGACCCGATAAAAGCCCTGCAAATTTCGCTAAAACTTTTATATTTTGGCAACGCCTCTGCCACTTTAGTGCCCTGCTAATTGCAAATTTCGCTTTCCGGGAGCTTAAAGGGGCTGTTCCCTCCCGATGGCAAGTGCAATTTAATGCACAGTTTTATGTTGTTTACAGTCGCCGGAAGCTGCTGCCATTTCCACTAGTTTAAATTCTGGCTTTTACGATTTACTAGAAAAAAAAGTAATGACGAAATTAGGTGTCCTAATCGATTGAAAACACGATTAAACCCGATTTGTGGAGTTTGGGAATCGGGGAGGCTAGCAAATATCATTGAGGGTTTTAGACTGACTGGGGTAACTAGCATGGACTTTTTGGGATTGAGTTCTCGACCGCCTTGTAATCCGTTTTTTATGAGTTTTTCCTGAGGTTTGAGATATTTCCCGTTATTTTCGCTTTCGCGTTCCAATCTTTGAGCGACGCAGGGACAATTAGCAGCGATTTTTTGGGATTTCGGATCCGTATTTTAGCATACGAAAAAATAAAATAATTTTTTTGACCATTTTTGAACAAAACGTCCGAAATTTTCTATTTTTGCGAGA